GTGTGTGTGTGTGTGTGTGTGTGTGTGTGTGTGTGTGTGTGTGTGTGCGCGCGCGCGTGCGTGCGTGCGTGCGTGCGTGCGTGCGTGCGTGCGTGCGTGCGTGCCTGCGTGCGTGTGAGAGAGAGTGCGTGCGTGTGAGAGAGAGTGTGTGCGAGTGTGTGCGAGTGCGCGAGTGTGTGTGAGTGTGTGTGTGAGTGTGAGTGTGACTGTTAATGTGTGTGAGTGTGTGTGAGTGAGAGTGTGTGTGTGAGTGAGTGAGAGAGTGTGTGTGAGTGTGTGTGAGTGAGTGTGTGTGAGTGTGTGAGTGAGTGTGTGTGTGTGTGAGCGCGTGTGGGAGTGTGTGGGCGTGTGAGTGTGTGTGTGGGCATGTTTTGGTTAGGTAGGGTGTAGGTGTATACATGACAGGCAAATGACTCCACTCCACCTGATGTTAAGTGGAAAGTGGTATCCAAACGCGAAGGAACCTAGTGCAGCGATGGAATCCTCACTGCACTAGCCACCTCCACCCTGCCTGCCTACAATATGCCTCTTCACGCCTCGTTTGAAGGACCCCATATCATAAGAGGGAGGGAAGACATGTGCCGGAAGGGAGTTCCATTTGTCAACCGTGCGGCAGAGAAAGGAGCCACCGAACCTTTTAGTACGCGATGGAATTCGGCAGGTAGTGAAACGGTGACTACGAAGGCCAGCACGCGTGGTTCTGAGCAGGAACGGGGAAGGGGGGATGAGGTTAAACAGCTCTTCAGAGCACTCACCATGGTACATGCGGTAAAAGGCGCTAAGCGATGCAACATCTCTACGCAGTTGCAGAGGTTCAAGGCGTGATGAGACCTCTTCGTCGCTTATAATTCGAGTAGCCCGACGCTGTAATTTATCCAAGGCATCGAGTAGGTACTTGGCGGAGCCGTCCCACAAGTGCGAACAATACTCAACGCAAGACCGGACCTGTGTTTTGTACAGCAGGCATAACTGGTCCGGCGTGAAAAAACGTCGCACCTTGTTCAGGACTCCGAGTTTCCGTGAGGCTGTTTTGATCACAGATTCGATGTAGCTCCTTGGATTCAAATCACAGCAGATTTCCATACCGAGCAAGGTAAAACTGCTCTGAGGTGAAAGTGCTGTGCTCATCAGAGAAGGCATGGGAAGGAACGGCGACAATTTTGTTGTTAACGCGCAAACCTGTGTTTTCTTGGCGTTGAACTCAACAAGATTACTGGATCCCCATGCAGAGATAAGGTCCAATATTCTATTGAGCTCAACGACAAGATCAGATCGCTCTCTGTCAGTATCGGCGCGCCCAGCTGCGGGGAATCCATGATATCCCCCATGAACAGTGCTATCATCTGCATAACAATGAATATTCCCAAGTGGAAGCATATCATTGATATGCAGAAGGAAAAGCGTGGGAGATAGGACGGATCCCTGCGGTACGCCGGCGTTCACATTCACGAACCTCGAAATGCTGCCGTCAGAAACGACGCGAATTCTCCGCTCACGAAGGAAATCGGCAATCCAGCTGCATAACTGGGCTGGCAAACCGTACGCCGGGAGCTTGGAGAGAAGAGCTTTGTGCCAGACCCGATCGAACGCTTTGGCTATATCGAGGCTAACAGCCAACGACTCGCCACGTTTGTCTATAGCCTCACCCCAAATATGCGATAAGTACGCTAGAAGGTCACCCGTTGATCGTTTCGGACGAAACCCATACTGCCGATCATTAATTATGGAGTGATCTTCTAGGTATTGGGTCAGTTGTTTGTTAAGGATCCGCTCTAAAACCTTGCATATTATGGAAGTAATGGCTATGGGACGGTAATTATGCGGGTCTGATCGGTCGCCTTTTTTGGGAACTGGTTGCACATTAGCCTCTCTCCAAGAGTCCGGCACACGACCTGAAGAGAGCGACAGACGATACAGTCGCGTTAGCACGGGGGTCAACTCAGCTGCGCAGTTCCTAAGTACAATCGCTGGGATACCATCAGGACCACTAGCTTTCCGGACGTCGAGAGACTGCAGCTGCGTACGCACATCGCATTGTCTGATACGAATATCAGACATCGTGTAGCCACAGTGAGGTAGAGTTGGTGGCTGTGCGTTACAGTCGTCGAGACAGGAGTTAGCCGCAAACAGATTTGCCAAGAGGTCGGCTTTATCTTGCGGCTTGTGGGCTAGATTGCCGTCAGAATATCTCAGCGGTGGCAGCGAGGGCTGGCAGAAGTTCGACGCAACGGCTCTGGCCAGACGCCAGTAGCTACGACTACCAGTGGGATGCGTCAGGAGTTCTTGGCCAACTCGTGCGACGCGCTGAGCATCCGCTCTGATGTACGCTCTTTTGCAAGACCTGGTGGCATTATTGTAGGCTGTTTTAAGTGAGTTCGTATTGGGATCGTCTGAAGCTAGACCCCTGATCCAAGCGCGGTATGCAGTCTGTTTGTTCTCAACAGCCACAGCACACTCGCGGTTGAACCAGCGGTTGCGCCTCCCTTTACTGACGAGATCCGAATGCGGGATGTAGTATTCCATCCCGATTAAGATCTCATCAGCAACGGCAGTCGCGCTAGCTGTTGGATCCACCTCACTAAAACAGCGCTGCCGCCAGGGAACGGATGCAAAATAGTCCCGCATACCGTCCCAATCTGCCGACGCATAATGCCAAATGCGGCGTTTAGCCACAGTAGGTGGTGGTGGCAGTAACGTTGCCACTTTAGTGGATATCAAGCAGTGATCCGAAGTACCCAGAGGGGCTTGGACCTCCACCCGATATCCAGCCGGGCGAGACGTCAGCAGAAGGTCCAACAAAGAGGGCGCGTCACCAACCCTATCTGGAATCCGGGTGGGCTGGTTTACCAGTTGGGTTAGATCGTGTGTGAGAGCGAATGTGTGGGCAGTTCTTCCAGCATGGTCAGTTTTAGAGGAACTTAACCACGACTCGTGGTGAGCATTGAAGTCCCCTAAAAACACCAATTCCGCTGTAGGAAACTGCGCCTGCGCGTCATCTGCCGCCCGAGTAAGGTGGTCTATGAGTCGAGTTGTCTCCATGTCGCCGTGGTGGGATCTGTAGAGGCACATGTAGACACGGCAATGACTGCCCAGGTCAACATGTACCCCAAGGATGGAGAAGGAGGGGTCCTCCAAATGACGCAGACGGCGACAGCAAACATCTGCCCGGACAAACAAGCAGACCCCAGCTTTCGCTTTGAAGGACTCTTCAAGCATATAGCCAGGGTAATTCAAGTAGCTGCTGTCAGCCGGGCAGAGTATTTGCGTCTCCGTAAGGAACAGCATTTCTGGTCGAGCCGTCTCAAGATGTTGGTGGACGGCGTGGATGTTACTGTGGAGTCCTCGAATGTTCGTGAACTCCACCTTAAAGAGCGCTTTAGTGGTGGGGGTGTGCACCGCTGTACGACCGAAATTTGTACTTTGCGCTAACATGTTGGAGGGAAAAAGAGGCGTGAAGCGAGAAAACAGTGCCGCGACACAAGCGGTCAAATCGCGGGGCCTGCTTCCCCAGAGACTTGCCTACAGACAAGTTGCGCTGATCCGCTGATGTGTGGGAGTGTGTGGGCGTGTGTAGGCGTGTGTGGGCGTGTGTGGGCGCGTGTGAGCGCGTGTGAGCGCGTGTGAGCGCGTGTGAGCGAGTGTGAGCGTGTGTGAGCGTGTGTGAGCGTGTGAGCGTGTGTGAGAGTGTGTGAGTGTGTGAGCGTATATGAGCGTGTGTGAGCGTGTGTGAGTGTGTGTGTGTGTGCGTGCGTGCGTGCGTGTGTGCGTGCGTGCGTGCGTGCGTGCGTGTGCGTGTGTGTGTGTGTGTGTGTGTGTGTGTGTGTGTGTGTGTGTGTGTGAGTGTGTGTGAGTGTGTGTGAGTGTGTGCGAATGATGGGAATACAGCCAGAAAGTTTTTCGAGTTTCCCAAAAACCTGCAACTATTACCGGGTTGGATGAAGAACTTATCAAGAGATTTGCTGTTATTTTGCAGGCAATCACATCTAGAGAAAAGATTTTGCCCGGAAAACAGCAGAAAAATACGTGGAATTATACGACTATTATTACATGTCGGCAACTGTGCATAAATGATTAATTCACGGGGCTGACATAATAGAGACAAACGACATTGTGCCTATTGGGACTCTTTCGGAAGAAGCCTCAGAGTCTCGAAATAAAGATTTCAGGAGGTTCCGGGTACATCATTCACGGAAAAGAAGCAGGCAAGATTCAAATCAAGACGTCCTGAATATGCTTCTTGGGTCTTCGGATCCTGTTCTAAGTGCACAAAGGCCTAAATTAGACGCCAAGAGAAAGCAGAGCTTTTTTGCTGAAACTCTTGATCTAATTCAGTTTCAGCAGACTGAGTTCGAGTTTTTAGATATCTCCAATCTGGATTCTGACTCAGAATTGGAGTCCTGACGGACGAGAGCGATAAGGAGAATTTGTAAATTTAATTAAATATTATGATTTCTTGCTATTTTTGTAAGTTTATTGTACCAATAAGTTTAAGTGGTTATTAATTCATCAAATTAGTTATTAAAATATTTTGTGTTGTATTTAAAGTAGGTACTGCTTTTTTTAAATATTTGTTTGGTTTTTAGGTATTTATGTAGTTAACTAGAAATGTTTCACTTTTAGTTTTGTCTTTGGTTAGGTTTTAGTATAGGTGCTTAGGTATTTATTATTTGATGTAAGTGTAATTTTTAAAATTTTGTTTCATATTTTTTTGTATATTCGTATTATTTGGAAATACTACGTTCTTAACTTAGACACTAAAAGGAGAAACAGTTCCTTTTAGTGTGTAACTTAAGAATGTATATAAATAAACAAGAATATTTTAACAATTAAATAGGTAGTTGTAATTACTTAATCCCTTGTTTTTAGATTCATTAGAAAACTAAACAATATTTGTGTAAGTGTGTGTGTGTACTATAAACCTCTGCCTACTCTTCGGGAATATAGGGGTGATGCTATTTTATGTAAAAAGCTTGTGTTCCTCAACTTAAAGACTAAATCATTTCGTTTCACATGTAAAATTAAATAAAAATATTTTGATGATTTAAAAAAAACGGCATTTATGACCGTTATCTGGAGTATGCCAAAAATTATAAATAATTAGCACTATAACCACCTGTAAGGATATTACTTACAGTGTTGGGCGTTAATCAATTAAATTTCAATCAATAATTCAATCAGATTAAAAAATCAATTCAATTGAAATCAAACGCGTCGCAATTGATTTAATTGCAATTGATTTCAATTGAATTTATTTTAATTGCAATTAAAATCAATTCCGGCCGGTTAGGGGCCCCGGTTGGGTGGGGGCCTGCTGGGGGCAGGTTAAGGGGCCCGGTTGGGGTCCCCGCTTGGGGGCCCCGGTTGCGGTCCCCGCTTGGGGGCCCCGGTTGGGGTTCCCGCTTCTGGTCCCCGGTTGGGGGCCCCGGTTGCGGTTCCCGCTTCTGGTCCCCGGTTGGGTTTCCCGCTTGTGGTCCCCGCTTGGGGGCCCCGCTTGGGGGCCTCGGTTGGGGTCCCCGCTTGGGGTCCCCGATTGGGGTCCCCGGTTGGAGTCCCCGGCTGGGGGCCCGGTTGGGGGGCCCGGTTTGAGGCCCCGGTTGGGGCCCCAGTTAGGGGCCCGGTTGGGGACCCCGGTTAGACCCAAGCGGGGACACCAACCGGGGCCCACAAGCGGGGACCCCAACCAGGGCCCCCAAGCGGGTACCCCAACCGGGGACCCCAACCAGGGCCCTCAAGCGGGGACACCAAGCGGGGACCCCAACCGAGGACCCCAACCGGGGACACCAACCGGGGCCCCCAAGCGGGGACACCAACCGGGGCCCCCAAGCGGGGACCCCAACCGGGGACACCAACGGGGGCCCCAACCGGGGACCCCAAGTGGGGCCCCCAAGCGGGGACGCCAACCGGGGTCCCCAAGCGAGGACCCCAACCGGGGTCCCCAACCGGGGATCCCAACCGGGGACCCCAAGCGGGGCACCCAAGCGGGGACCCCAACCGGGGTCCCCAAGCGGGGACCCCAAGCGGGGCCCCCAACCGGGGCCCCCAAGCGGGGCTCCCAAGCGGTGCTCCCAACCGGGGCCCCCAACCGGTGCCCCCAACCGGGGCCCCCAAGCGGGGCTCCCAACCGGGGCCCCCAACCGGGCCCCTTAACCTGCCCCCAGCAGGCCCCCACAACCAACGCCCTAACTCACCCCCGTATGCCTTATAAATTTATCATAATTGTCAGTTTTAATTGTTAATCAAAAACATTGAAAAGATTGAAAATTGATTAATTGTTAATTGTAGATATTTGCGATTAACGATTGATCAATCGTGTGATAATCGTTAATTGCTGTTTCGCAATTGACAATTAATCAATTGTCAATCTTTAATTGCCAGAACAATTAAATTTTGCCCAACACTGATTACTTACGGTTTTCCTTGCCGTTTAAAAGATAATTCCATTTTTCATACGAGTTTAATACAAATTTTTCGAAAAAGAATTGTAACTCCTTCGTTTTGGAATATAATCAACTCGGGTGTCATATTCGTACATAGTAATAACTAAAAGAAGCAATATTCGGCAAAAAACTGACACTTGTAAATTGAAATCCCTGTAATAACTAAAAGAAGCAATATTCGGCAAAAAACTGACACTTGTAAATTGAAATCCCTAAGTCTATGAAAGCCGATTTTCAGCCCACCGTGAGCCGTGTGCTTCTTAACGTGCGTGCGTGCGTGCGTGCGTGCGTGCGTGCGTGCGTGCGTGCGCGCGCGCGTGTGTGTGTGTGTGTGTGTGTGTGTGTGTGTGTGTGTGCGTGCGTGCGTGCGTGCGTGCGTGCGTGCGTGCGTGCGTGCGTGTGTGTGAGTGTGTGCGCGCGCGTGCGTGTTCGTGTGCGTGTGCGCGTGTGTGGGCGTGCGCGTGCGTGGGCGTGCGCGTGTGTGTATGTGTATTATATATACCGCTCGCGAACCACGTACACACTACATTTTTTGTTACATAACATGCAACGGTTACAGTTACAGCTCGCTAGTGAGCACCCGGCTTTAAACTAATTCCAATGGTGCCATGTAAAAATGTAGTAGATAACTGACCTTTTACCAAAGCAGAGAATAAAAACGTAACGATTATGGTCACTCTCCGCCCCTCCCTAGCTTTATTTATTATTAATATAATAACATATTGAAATACGTATTCTAGTGAGAATATTTCAATATTTTGACGAAGACTGATGATGGATAATTGACATGTTATTTTAGTCTAAATTGTATTTTTATTACTATATTTTGTAACGTGTGAAATAATGTAAGCCAAAACGTAGCGACTAAGTGCCATACCCTTGCGGGGTGTCGTAGCAATAGGTACTTACCTAATGGAACGTGTATTGTTGTGACTTGCATTTTGAATAAATAAATAAATATATAATATTAATGTCAATCAAACTACTAAATCAACCTGCTTATTGAAAAACATAAGACGCTTACCCTGTCCTATACAATTAAATGGTACCAACCTGCAACCCTTCATGACATAATAATATGAAATAAACTATGAACAGCCGTTTGTCACCTTTCATCATCAAAACAAGGAAAAATACTGACATTATGAAGAGGATGTATGGTGGAACCTTTGCCTACCAAAATTTAAAATGGCGGAAATCAATAAAAAAGAAATTACAAAAATATTTACAATTTCGATTTCGTTATAACATCGTTATTATAGAGGTACAAATTTTTTAACAATAAGTTCTAAATAGTGCAATCTTGGTATATTTTTTTGGTACCAAATATGTCAGGATTCATTAAAGATGCACACGACACTCTGAAATCTCAACATATGTTGTCTTATTTTTCTCAGAAACTAACCAGCAGATCTAGCTGGAGTTTCCTTTACTTCAGAGTACTATTAAGGTACAAATTTTTGGAATAAGAAGCTTTTATAGTTATTAAATAAATACTGGTAATCCGAGGTACACCCGCTATATTGACAGTCAATACGGCGGGTGTACCTTTGATTTTGCTATAATTTCATTCTGATGGAGATACAACTTTTTTAAACAAAGGTACTAATAGTACAAATTAGGTACATTTTTTTGCCAAATTCATCAGGATCCGTTAAGGTACACCTGCCATTCTGACTGTCACATTTAGATCGGACACAGTTTTTCGAAGATTTTAAACCTTCTTCGAAGTGCAGATTTCAATCACGTTTTCCGTTACCAAAAAGCTCCAATGTATGAAATGTACCAATTCAAATTGAATTTCGTACATAAAATCCGTAATAACTCAGAGAGACGGTAGGTCAATCCATTACTACGTGGCTATCAGTTTTTTATATAAAAATATATAAAAACATACTCACTTGGTATCCACGTTAGTAACATTAGTTTCATTCAAATTACAATCCTTAAGGTGATTGTCCTTGTCCTCTTTACTCTGGTTTTCTTCTTCCGTATCGTTAATGTTGCAATTTGCCAATCGTTGGTCTACAGCCAACTGTTGGATGTACTGTTGGTAATGTTGGTCTTGTAGTTGGCGAATCAGAATGGCTTGTTGGTCGAAATTCCCGGGGAATTGTTGTTGGGCATATTGCAGGAACTGATCGTAAGTTTGCGCGTTGAGTGCATCTTTTATTCTTTGACTGAAATATGAACATGCTTTATTTTTTATTTTATCCATACCTAAATTTGTAATACCTTGTCTTGGATAAATAAGCCATATTATCATATTATACATATTTAACATTGATTTAGTTCATTAACTAAAGCCAATGCCAATAGGTCAATGACTAAAGTTCAAAAAAAGTTAATAAATCAATGTTCAACTCTTTCCTCAACTTTGTAGATTTAGTAAATAAAGTAACTTTTATATTATTTATTTATATAGTAGCAGCGTGTGAAAAAGTTCGTTCAGGGCAGTAAAGTGAGCATTAATGTATTTTAAATGCCAAGCATGCTGGTGTAACTACACACATGCACATGAGTCTTATAAATTTTATGTCTCAGGGTAACTGATAGAGTGGCAGTACCCAATTTGAGATTTTTGTAATATAAAGCTCTGAGTGGCACTACAACTGTTAGGGGTCGCATACGTCTCGTCACTTGATATAATTAGAAAAATCCAATCTTACATATTATCCACTATTTTTACCTCTCCCCTCCCCAACAATACTTACACTTGTTCTTCTTCAGATACTTTGTTGCTCTGCTGTTTCTGTTTCTCCTGCATTACTCTATGCTGCAGTTCTTGGTGTGCCCTTTCTGCTTCCACTTTCTTTAACCTGTATATTAATTTTATATTAGACCAGCCACCACCAACCTTGTCTTCTGTCTATGGTATGGTTGTAAACAAGCAGGCAACCTAAGCATTATTATGCTTATCGTGGTTTATATCTCCTTTTGTGCAAACATACCAACCTTGGTCAGCTGTCTATGGTGCTTTTGGTGAGCAAAATCTAATATTTCTAAACACGTACATTCCTAAAATTACTACAATATTTAAAACCTATGGGGAATATTTATAGCTGTAATTTTTTTATTGAAAGATCAAACTTACTCTTGTTGTAACTTGCTTTCTAAGTCCTTATGTATAGCTTCTAAATACGGCTTGAATAATGGACATAATCTGGAATACAAACATCATACTGAAATATCAAAATATTGTCAATTATTATTATTAGGGAGGCTTTTCAGGGCTTCTGCAGCCCAATATCACTGCAACCAATAATTTGATCTGTTTTAATTACTATTCACAGTTCTGAGTTACTCATAAAGAGTGATCCGAGTAGGTGGAATTATTTAGGGTCAATGATCTCAAATATATATATAATGCGCTGTTCTGCTTGACCATTTCAAGTGAAGGTTTTAAACAAAACATCATTTGATTGATGTTTCACCATTCAGTGAAGAAATTTAGACCTTACATTCCCTATGTTTTAATTTGAGAAAGAAATGTTTACCTATGTACTTAGAATGTATTGTTTTCCTATTGTCTTTTCAAATACATTTAAAAACAAATTTAAACATACCAGTACTAGTAGCAACGTAAGTAATTAATACCAAACTTTTTTTTTAATTCAAGAAATCACAGGTTTTGTAAAAAGAATGAGTTGTATCAAAAAGGTATATCCATATTATACCTGCAAGTCGCATGTGGCAAAAATAGCCTCTAAATACTCAGATTACTGATCATCATAATACACAAAGCAGAAAAAGTGTAACTTTTCTCAGCACCAATTGATTTTGGGTTAATACCCAACTTGCTTCTTCGCCTTATACCCAACCATCGGGTATATAACCAGAAATAGAGACAAAATAAGGGCCATATATTTCTGGTAACACATTAGCCAGACAGCTCTTATAAATATCAACTCTCGTTTGCACTGAAATATAGACAGGCTAACTACTGACCGGTTTGTTCGTCTCCGTATATTCCTAAAAATATTCTGTACATATTTATTGTAATAAAGATAATATCTCTAACAATGCCGTGCTGTTCTATTCGGTGGTGTGGGAAAAACAGCAAAACAACTAATTACAAAACAAACGGAATCACATTTCATCGGTAATTAAATATTAACCATGTAATTTTGCAATTTTCGTCCATTATAGCAAAGCTCAAGTTCAACTGCTCGATTTGAAGTGAAACAGTTGACGACACCCGTCCATTGTTTCGAACTCGGGCTGATATGGCAGAATTGCTTTTCAAACGAATTAAATGACATTTCGTTTCTATTTCTGGTTATATACTCGATATACCCAACATACGCTTCAAGGTTGTGACTTTCAGTTATAATTTAATTATCACTTTAAAACTTGGCTTAATTGTTAACAGAGTTAGATACATAAATTCATTCACTTGTTGCATCTTCTAGTCATTATTCATTGTAATTTCCACTATTCTATAACATACAACACAATTGTACTATACTAATGAAATAAATTGCAATGTACTATAAAATACAATACTTAGCAATAACAATTTATTTCACTATATATTCTGAAACATTTATAAAGTCATTTGTGTTTTCAAAAGTATTTAGTTATAATAGGACTATTATAATCACATAGGTACATTGATAATTAATATGCATACCTATTCATGGAACATACGAGGTGTGGTAGAAAAGAAATGAGAGTGGTTTTTTATTTACGAAAGTTTTTATTTTTTCTAAACATCAATGTTACCCCCTTCAAAGTAGTTCCCTTGGGCAGCTACACACCTATGGAGACGTAGTTCCCATTGTTGGTAGCAGCGTGTCTTCAACTGGTATGGTCTTTGGTATGTCTGTCACACTTTTATGGAAGTTTGGATGTCTTTTGAAAGTCACAGGGACTGAGGTCAGGCGAACAGGGGGGCTGGGGTCCTTGAAAGGTTCAGAAGGTGAGAAAGAACCCTTCACCAGGCACACTTGCAGGGGACTGGCTCAGGGAGATCCTATTTCTCCTTTGCTATTTAATATAGCCACCATGTACATTGGAAATACTATTAAAAATGTCAGTATTTCTCAATATGCAGATGATTTTGTATTGTACAAGACAGTAGAGAAAGGTAATTTATTAGATGCAGTTGATAAACTGGAATCTGCTATTAAAGCCATGGAGACTATATTAGAGAGTATTAGGTTGTTTATTTCAGAATCTAAATCCAATGTATGTATAGTTAGAAAATCTAGAAAAGAAATCAACCTTAATATTAATATTCACAGTCAAATACTAAAGAATAAAAAGTTTAAATATTTAAGATTGTGGTTCGATTCTTCGATGCGATGAAGTGCTCAATACATTTGTGAAAAAACGTACAAACTTTTAAATGTTTTAAAGGTATTAGCGGGAAGGATGTGGGGAGTTCACCCCAAACATTTACGTAGACTATACATTTCCCTTATCAGAAGTAGATTAGATTTTGGTGGATTCATATATGGCAGTTGTGCCAAAACCCACTTAAAAAAGCTAGATGGGTTACGAAATCAAGCACTTAGGGCCGTATTCTAGAACTCTACTCAATGCTCAAGTCAGGATTTGAGTACAGTTAAAAGCACTCGAAATCATACTCAAGTACCTGCCATTAGGGTCGTATTTCCAGTGTTTGTGTTTCCATTGCAATCCTGACTTGAGCATGGAGTAGTGTTCTAGAATACGACCCTTAGAATCTGCAGAGGCTTTGTCCGTAGCACCCCAGTCTACGCTATGGAGAGTAAACTCTCTCTTCCTCCTCTATCTGTTAGGCGTTATTGGTTAGGCTGTAGGTTTTTGTCCAGACTAAATAATGGTTGCAATAAAAATATTGTAAAGGTTTTTCAAAACTTAATAGCACGGCGCAATAGCTTCAGCGGAACCAACTTTCCCATTCTTGCTAAAATTTACACTGAGTTCAGAGACATAGAAATTTTTGAAGAACCAAAACTTGGAATGTATTCCCTGGACATCTGGGTTACTGCCATAGACAATAGTTGTATTATTGATAAAATCCGTTACAATAAAGAAACCAAGCGCAGTGATTACCAACTAAGAAATTCTGCACTGTTTATGTTATCAAAAGATTATACTAGTTTCTATAAGATATGTACAGACGGTTCTAAGTCGGTTCGTGGTGTTGGAGCTGCCCTTCTGGATGCTCAGTCTAATGCATCTTACATGTGGAAGGCACACATTGACATATGCATTATGAGAACAGAGATTATTGCCATCAAAGAAGCGTTACAGTATGTAGTGGATCAATTGTCAAATGAGCAGTCAGTTGTTATTCTAACCGACTCAAAAAGTGCTCTACAGCACTGGGCTTGGTGTGTCTCGGGTCATCGACGCATGCCAATAGCCTATGAGTTGATCCACAACATACACCGCAGAAGTGTGCGTTTAAGGCTCCAATGGATTCCCTCCCATGTGGGATTGCGCGGAAACAAAGAAGTTGATGCCTTTGCAAAATCAGCTGCTGAAAATGATACTGTACTTGATTGTAAGCCTTATTTATTTATTTATTTATTTATTTATTTGATACACCATCGACGTA